AAATAAATAAATAATCTTTTGATAGGATACCATCTAAAGAAAATATCTCAACCCATATATGTATCTGTTGTCATAAATAGCTGGAGTGTATGAAAAGGCAAATATCTGAATCAAAAAGAGGTTATTATCATAAACAAATATTAGAAAACTGGTACAGTCAGAAAGTACAAATACATTTAGTACACCAGAAAAAATAAAACCTTGTTATTGTTGTTTTTACAGGATATTTAGTCCTTTGAAAATGACCAGTGTAAGTACAACATAATAACATATTGAGAATTTATCCCTTTGATGACAACTGATGTAAACATAGTATAATAATATATTTAAGTAATATTTATTCCTGTAAGTCTTTTATAAGGCTGTGAAAACTATCGGGTCAGTCTGTTGTAAGATGAAAACTGTTGAGGTCCCCCTAGTGAACAAAGACTGGAAAATATTTCCATGTGGCCGCTCCTCTGTTCACCAAGGGGAGCATGCCTTGAACTTAATAACCTTTATCTATAAACAAAACAGTTGTACGATTGGACAAAAGAAAAGGCTGAACTCCCTACTCACCCAGACATTGGTGACCGGTGTGGATGTGTAGCATCAGCAATGGCAAAGGTAGAAAGCCCCAGAGGGTCCTGGCAACGGCAGATACGGTCCGTCCAATGGAGATGGCCAAAAGGTCAATCAACCCTGTCCTGTGGGGGATCATCCATTAATGGACCATCTACCCTCCAAGTCATGGCACCAGAAATATAAGGTAAAAGGCCAAAGACCAAGACCAGACCAGGCCACAACAAGCCTTTATTAGGGAATAGATCTGCCAGGCTGTCTCTGAACAAAGGAGAGAAAAAAGCCAATGAAATCTTTATTTAAGCAGTCATCCTGCAGGTGTGGCATTATTCCTAAACTTCATTCTCGCAGTGTTTCTTGAGACCAAAAGTTTCTTTTCATGTAAGTACATAATTCCAATTTAGAAAGTTTAGTACACTTTGAATTCCGACCAAGCCGTGATGTTATGGCTTATATCTAGACACCCCCCCCCCAGTCTTATAGGTGGGGCTTCAGGGAGGTGATGGGATCATGGGTGTGAGGTACTAAATTAGTCCACTGATTGGTTGAGCATAGTTCTGAGAGTGGATGATGGACTTACTGAAGAGGGAAGACCCACCCTGGATGTGGGTGGCACCAACCAATAGGCTTGTACTTTGGGTGGAATAAAAAGGGAAAGAAGGAAGGAGCTGCTTCCTGCCTGCCATGACATGGACTGTTTCTGCCATGCCACCCTACCTTGGAGTCAGCCAACCCCTGACTGAAACCTCTACAAACTCTGAGCTAAAATAATCCTTTCTTCCTTTAACTTGTGGGCATCAGGTACTTTGTCCCAGCAATGGAAAAGTAACTAAGATACACGATGACATCCTGGTCATTAATACTTTTTTATTTACTTCAAGGCACTATGCAATTTGTATTTTTATGTCTAGGTACCAGAATCTGTAGTTTAAAAAATCCACAGAAAGACAGCTCTAATGGACATTTGCTGATTGTCACCATGCAATCATTTGCCACCAGGAGTGCATTGTCTTCAACTCTAATTGAAATAAGATAGGAACTATGCTGCTATAAATCTAAATAGCAGGAAAATAGTAGGCTAGACTCCTCTAGCTTTCGGAGGACACCTTAATGGAAACATAAATACCATAATCATATGCTTTTTGCATGCATTTTACCACTGAAAAGAAAATGCCAATTTTAAAAGAAAAGATCTTTGTGAACTTGTTTTTCTCCCCATTAAAACTGGAATCCAGTTGTGTCAAAAGGAAGTCTGGCAAACACAGAACAAAAACTAATTTTCCTAGATACTGGCAGTTTCTAAACATGTGCTCTCTTAAAAACGGAGGGTCACATAACAAAGCTGCATTTGCTCCCACAAAAGTCAAATACCACTTCACTTCCATTTACTTAATATTATTCATCTCTGCTTTTCTTGAAATGTGAGAAAGTGATTCTCGAAGGTGGTAAATCTCATTGCAAGGTGAATTTTGCAGGTTGGTGCCATTGCCAACTCCATGTGCTTCACCCACACAGGGGATCTCAGTACCTTTGCTGTCTGTCGCCTCAGCCAGCATCCTCAACTCCTTAACCCCTTCAGCTTGCTGCTCAGCTCCTCTTCACCTGCACCAGGCCTACTTCCCACCGGTCCCTGGCCAAGGCCCAGGGTCCTCAGTGTCCTGCTCCAGGGCGGCCCCTTGAGGGCCTACTCATCAGTACCTCCCATCAGCCCCGGGCTGCAGCCTCTGCCTCTGTCCTGGTGTTACCAAATACCTGAAAATGTGCAGAAGTCTACTATGCTGCATTCTTTTAAAAATCAGTTTTTGCTTCTAACTTTTCTGCCCAAGTTTCCTTTTCACTTCTAACCCATACTTCTGGCATGATTAACCTCGGTTGGAAACGCTGCTGCTATCTTCTTTCCCCTATCTTATTCAAGCCACGTGGGAGGCTTACTAATGCTCCCCCAAGATGCTCACACCCAGATCTCTGGAACGTGTGAATATTTTATCTCGTGGAGCAGAAAGGGTGCTGCAGATCAGATTAAGATCAAGATCTTAAAATGGGAACTTCCTCCTCGATCATCATCCCCATGTTTGAAAGCGAAGGGGGGAGCAGGAGAGTCAGCACTGCACTGTAGAGAGATTTGAAGCCGCTGTGCTGCTGGCTCTGGACCCAGAGGAAGGGACCCAGAGACAAGCGATGCAGGTGCCTTCGGGAAGCTTGAGTAGACAAGGAAACTGACGTGGCTGGAGCCTCCAGGAGGAACACAGCCCCTGCCTGAATCTGAGCCCAGTGAATCTGCTTTAGGCTTCTGATCTCTGGAACTGTAGAATAATAAATCTGCATTATCTGGTGGTGAGGAGTTTGTCATGGACCCCCGGTGTCAGTTTTCCAGTGGCCTCTTGACTTCCCAAGCCCATTCTGGATGACTGGGGCATTCCTGGAACTGTTCTCCAGCTTCTTCTTTTCTTCCTGACAGTGCTTTAGCTGTACTTTTAGAGGATCTACTTACTTTTTCCCGGATTAAGTTCTTAAAATTCTGTATTCTGGATTCCCTAGGGAAGTAGCTACCAGCCACTGTTATTTCTTCCATGTCACTCTTGGTTAAGGTTTTACCTCCTACGAGCCACTGGCAGTGCCTAATCCCCACTAACTCATCCTCTCCAAGTTTCAAGTTCCCTTAGCACTGCCAGCTGGGAATGCACATTTCCTGTGTGTCTCAGATACCAAAACCCACGCTAGTTAAACAGATTCGTCCTTTTATATTCTAAAATTAATCTCAGTGACTGCTATCACCACCCACACGTCCACTCCAGCTAGAGGCTTTTCTTTTGTAATCCACCCCCCATCCATGGCAGTCCATGGCAGGTCCGCCATGTTCCTTTCTGAAAAATTCCAAGTCTTTTCTCTTCGATAGGACTTCCGTGGATCCAGCAAGAGTCTCTTACCTTCTTCCCATCTCCAGTCTTGTTCTACACAAACCCCAACCTCACCTAATGCCTGGAATTTTCTATCTAAAATAAAATACGACTGAGTCACTCCCTTACTTGAAAATACTGTGTAGTTGGTTATCTTGTGGATGCAGACCAGGCCTGCAGTCTGGGGCTCATGGGCCTCCAAGAATTCACATTCCAGGCTCATCTCCAAATATATCAGATCACATCATATCGGCTCACACCTACTTGGCTCTTAAAGAATCAGTCTCAAAGTCTAAATCCAATTTCACCAAATACCTGTGTGAATTAAATAGCTTTTTGGTGTTACAACAAATTCTGCAGATGTTAACTTTTGGTGAGGAAAAACAAGCAATCACCATTCATTAAGCTATTGTAATATAGTTAGAGATCCAACAATTAAATTAAAGGCTGAGGTGACATAAACAACCCAACAAATGAAATCTTGAAAGTAATGAAGCCATAAATAAGGTCACGGCTAATTTTAAAGACTTCTTGTTTAATTCTTTTTGTTGATTAACATTGCCCGAAACCACAATTTGTTTATAGAAGTAATGTGTAATGGGGATTGTTTACTTATGTATTTATTTTAGCCTTAGGGAAAGTTTAAATATTCTGCAGAAATATGGGACTAAACTAAAATGGTTTTAGACTTTGGTAGTTATCAGGCGAGAAGTCCCCCAGGAAAGTGTGTTCCTTTTTGTTTTAATGCCTTCCTTTCACAGGACTGAATTCTTAGGCCTTTGACGATCACACTTAGGGCCGTGATCTCCTCAAGCTGCTTGTTGTTCTGTTTGATTTTTAACCTCCAACAGCAGCTCCAGGATCCCGCTTTCATGCAGTTTGGCATGATAACTCATCTTTTTCTTTCACCTGGCTGCCTCTGTCCCCTGTGCCTTCGATAGTCAAAACCCATGGCTTCAAATACTGGTCTTATTGGTGTTTAGTGATCTCAGGTTGGTGTTCTTTTCTTTTTTGCTCCTACACAAGGATGGAATATCAATCAACTATTAATTTAAATTCATGAGGATTTATGCGGAGTCCTATTGTGAGATGCATTCCCAGCTTCTTAGGAGACTTTATCAAGCTCTGAATCCACAATCCATTTTTAAATTAACTTCCCAGATGTTCTAGAGCTTTTCTCTGGGCACCCTATGTCCTCTGTGTGGATAATGATTTGATTTTCTGTTCTCCTTCCTTTCTTCTTCAGGTTTTTCCTATTTGGTTGATTTTCTGTAACAAGAGGAAAAGTATTAGTTGATTTGCAAAGATATTTATTTTCTTTTCCAGTCAAGGAAGTGGTTGGAATATTCTTGGCCTCTTTCACTAAAATAAGTGTATATATAAAAGTTTAAAAAGTTATAAATGATCTAGATTGTTACAGAACTGAAAATGACTAAATAATTCATGTGTTCTATGGATATGTAGTAATTATTTGAAGATAGATTTAAAATTATATACCAGCGATTCAAATGTTTGAGTGAATCTGCATTTCTATAAAACAAATACTTTTAAAATGAATTTTCTGTATCAGTTTATGCCTTATTAGTTCTACCCCTCAGACTATTCTGAGGCTTATTTTTGAGTCCATAGGAATACAGAATTTCAAAAGACTTGTTGCCAAAACAAAATACTCTGGGATCAAATAATTATCTTCTAGGAAATTCCTTTTGGTGGGAACGGTGGCTTTTTCAGTTTACCTTCATTTACAGACTACAGTGTACCCTTGAGTTGCAGTTGGCCTGACATACGAACAACTTGGGTTATGACCAGAATTTTAGTTTTAACTTACGAACAAAGCCTTGAGTTATGATTGAATGCTGGCTGCTTGTGCTTCCAGATGGTCTCAGATACAGATTTAACCCTGAAAGAGTTCTGGAAGGAACATGACAACATCCTTTCCTGTGTGGGGTTAACTGAGAAATCCCAGGCCAGTGTCTCTCTAAGGACACTGAGATCTGCCTGTGTACCGGAGAGAGACTTTGAAGGCTGTGTAGAGGAGCCTGAGCCTTCAGTGACCAACTTGAGTTACAAATTGAGTTCGTAAGTCAAGGGTCCATTGTATAAATTGAAGTTAAACAAAGGTCACTGGGTAAGAAGTTAAAAATGGTCCAAGTTTGTACTTAGTTACCTACATTTTAACTGAAATTCCCTGTTGCCTCCTGCCGGGCTTGTTGGCCTTTCAAGGGCTCACTTGATGGTCACTTTGCCAGGGTGAAGCCAGCTGAGTTTGGTGCAAGAGGCTGCTGGGCCAGCTCACAACGAAAGGTCTCAGTGGTCCAAATGAAGTGGTGAATACAAAGCTCCTCGAGTCAGAGGATTTCTTGTATGTGCGTGAATTTGGACTAACACTTTATGACTCGGAATTGATTGATAATGTCCATTTAAGTAGAGGAAACAACATGAAGTCTGAATTAGAGACTTTGCTTAGCATTTAAAGCATATCCAGCAACTCAGATCAAAGGCCAGAACGCTTTAGTTAGTAAACCTTTATCTTTTAAACCTCCATAGGTTTCAGTTCTAATTCATAAACTAATCAGATAGGCTAACATTTTGTTTTGATGAGGCTCATCTGTTGATTCCAGTATCATTGGAAGGGAAAAGGATTTTTCTAAATTCCCTTCAAATAAATCCCCCTTCAATCTCATTTATACCATAAATTTGTACAGCAAATTTAAAAATTAGTGGAAAGATTAGTTCTTTACACGTTTTTCAAAAATTATAAATAATGGCGTCTGGAATAATTGTAAACAGCCTCTCAGAAAAATATTTCTATCGTTTCATGTCAACCGTATATAATTCTGAAGTTGTGAAAATGTATTTTAAATATAATGCTGTGTTGTCTTCCATGAAGGAAAACATGATTTAAAAGAAAAACATTTGCCATTTCAGAATTTATTGATTATCATGACCTGAAAATTTGTTCTAAATAAATCCATGTAATGACCAGGTAACAGGTGTTTTAGCACCTTCTCTAGTCTCAGCTTTAATATTTAATGCCAGCTACAAAATTGGAAAGCCTTTGTTGTTTCCTTTTGAAGGTTATATAATCTGTAGTCTGCTGTTAGCATAATTAAAAAATATTTTGTAATAGAACCTAAAGCTGATTGGGAATAAAGACTCAATTGTAATGATTCTTTTTCTTCCATTCCCTTCTTTATTCTGTTTGTCTAACCTCTGTGAAATACACAAGGGCTTAAACTTTGATCAAGTCCAGAGTTCTTGTGCATATTCACTGGCCAGTGTATTTGGCAGCCTCTGTGACTGCCTGGTCACCTCCCCGCGGGTCAGTGGTGCCAGTGTCCCAAGAAGGGTGATGGGTGTGGGTAGAAATGAGTAAGACCCGTTTCCTGCCAGAGTCCTCCTCGCTGTTGTTGTATGTTGGACCACATGCAGTGCATTTTGTGCAGAGGGATAGGGATTGCTAAGGAGGCTCCGGGGTCTCAGCTTGGGGAAGGGTGAGCTTGTAAGACTGTGTCCTAAACAGGTGTTAAAAACTAGTAGGTAAGGGGCCGGGGATTTAGCTCAGTGGTTTCACCGCCTGCTGCGCAAGCACTAGGATCCAAGTTCGATCTCCAGTACCCCCCCCCCTAAAAAAGCTCCCCCTAAAAAAGCTAGGAGGTAGGGGGGAGAGAGAGAGAGAGAGAGAGAGAGAGAGAGAGAGAGAGAGAATATATGTATCAGTGTGTCAGTCAGCTTTCCGCTACTGAAACAAATACCTGAGAGAATCAGTTTATAAAGGAAAAGGTTTATTTGTGCTCACAGTTTTGGAGGTGTTGGTCCAGGGCTGGGCAGACCGATTGCAGTTAGACTTCTGGTGGGGGCAGTGCCTCACGATAGGATGGAAGCACATGACATAGGAAAACCCTTCTCCCCATGGCTGGGTGCGAGAAGAAGAGAGAGCTACTGTGCTCCGATCTCCCCTTCAAGGGCACACCCTGGTGATCAGACCCCACCTCTTATAGTGTCCCCCACTTCTCCATAGCATCATGGGCTAGGGACACAGCCTGTGATAGCTACGCTTTCGGGGAACCTGTATGCAAACCACAGCTACTGGTAAATATTAGACACAATGGACGCTTAACCATGAAAATTCCTATTTCTTTCTACGGCTTTTCTCTGACTTGTCCATTTCTGTGAAATAACGTTTGGGATTTCAGTCACTAACTTTACCCAGCCTCGGGGGCTTGTGGTGTCCTGAGCCCTCAGGCAGTGGGGTTTCGAAGCCCATAGGTGATGAGGTAGAACCAGGCCAGGAGGCGATAGCATAGCTCCAAGGAGGCAGCAGCCAGACAGCTCCTAAGAGTCAGGTGTCATGAGTCATAGCTGAGGGTGATGGCTCAGAATTGAGCCAGTGCAAAGCAGCTCTGTGAGAATATTAATATCTTCAAGAATGTGAGAAATTTAGCATTCTTGTTTGGGTCCTTCCTGACCATGAATGCTGTACATGAATGCCAGAGGCTTTGCTAGGAGACCAGGGAAGACCATGACCTGAGTGAGGTACAGAGTCTCCTGACCACCTGTAAGACACATACTCCCTTGCCAGGCTATTTCCAGTTTTACAAAGCTGTGATTCATCATCTAATATTATTTCTGAGGAAGCTTATTTGCATCTGAGACAGTCCCATGATCCCTTCTTGGGTGAACAAATCTAAGTCCCACCTGCTCCAGTTTCTTCTAAACAGCACGTCTTTGAGTTGTCTTATTTTTTTCTGTAAGATTTCCAGCTTTTAAGTTAGATCCCAAACTGGACTCGGGTGTGGTGTTGCCCTCTCTGATGGATGGTTATGGTGTCTTAACATCCTATCTTGTTTATAACTGAAACATTTATTTCAGTTGATTTTTAAAAGGGCAGATTGTTCTCTGATTGTTTACTACTGCTTCCTGTGTAGCTGTTGCATAAGAGCATTGCTTCCAGACTTTTAAATCTAGTAATTCTTAAAAATGTTTAAAAGTCAAGAGACTCTGCCAATGCCACACACACGTATGTACCCACAGGTTGGAGGAGGCTGTGTTCCCAGAGAGCAGAAATAATGGTGAAGTTGACACAATGCTTCCCCAGGCACTGGTGATAAACCCAGCCGTGTGGGGCAGATCCAGGTCCCTGCCATCTCCCATCGTTGGCCACCATGGTGAATTTTCCTGTGTGGCTCCTGCTTGACAACTTTCATTCTCCACAGTGGGCAGGGAACAGGGAGGGTAGGGGCCAGTGACAGGCTGGGTGGCATTGCAAATTCTAGAGGTCACCAGTGCTCTCACATGGAATGCCGCTGCTCAAGAGTGCTCACCTGAAATGAGAACAGCTGCTTCCTGGGGTGCGGGGTGGGGGGACTGGAATTAGGGACATTGCAGTCTTTCTTCCTGCCCTGTTCCCTGCTAGTGCTTATGGTAGCTTATACTGCACATGAAACACTTTATAAGTTTTATCATCCACCTCCTTCAAGTTGAATGAAGTTGCATTTTAAAGCTGGGGATTTTGTCTGTTTGGTTCACTGCGATATTCTAAGATCTGGCACATGGCATTTGTGTATGTTTAAATAAGTTATGAAAGCAATTCCTCATTAGTACAGCAAAGACAGTTTATGGGATGCAGTCTGTGAGAATGAAGATTATAAACTGTATATAAGTAGAGACAGCCTGTTTTAAGAAAAAGAATATGGAATTTCTATCAGCAAAATGTAAACATCTTAATTGCTAAGTCTTGTTTGTGGATTTGGTAGTGTGTGCCTTCAGGAGGCTGAGGCATAAGACTCTTTGGAACTTAGAAGTTCAAGGCCACTCTGGACAATATAAAAATTTTTTAAACCCCTTTTTGTTTTACTTGTGCAATTCACAATCTTACAGGTTCCGTAGGGGTCATGTAACTGAGAGGGTGCACTGTCAGTGCTCTGTCACATCATACACTGAGATATGCTATAGGTATGTCAAGGGTACAGGCTCTGGAGATGGCCTGAGCTCATACCCTGGGTCTGTCAGTTGACTTTTTGCGTCTCACTTCTTGTGTCTGTAAAATGGAAATGATAGCAGTACTTAGCCCGTAGAGGTTTTCTGTGAGCGTTAAGTGAATGACTGCATGTAAGGCAGTTTGACTACTGCCTAACATAGGAAGAGTCCAGCAAGTTTTAGTTATGCTCTAGTTTGTGTCTTGAGTATTCCCAAAGGCCCTTGTGTTGAAATAGGTCTTCAGCTGAGGTGCTGTGGGGAGGCTGGGGAACCTTTAAGACATGAGGAGTAGTGGGAGGAAGATAGGTTATTGGGGGGGGTGTCCTTGAAGGGGATCTGGGACCCCAGCCTCTTCCTGTCCCTCCCTCTGCTTCCAGGCTGCCATGCGGTAAACAGTTGCCATGTGCTCCATGCCACCAAGGATCAAAGCAACAGGGCCACATCATCTAACCCCGACATCTCTGAAACCGTGAATCCAGTAATCCCTCCACAAGCCGCTTATCTCAGGCATTTTGTCACAACAATAAAAGGCTGACCAACACAAGTTGCAGTGAGGACTTTATGTTACCATTCCCCCAACTGTCATCACCATCTTTGTTCAGAAGTTCTGAGGACATTGAGGAGACACACAGTTTGCTGCACGAATTGTTTTTATCTGTGTATGCTATGAGATGATTCTGCATCTTCTTAGCATCTTTCATCATGGAAACTTAGGTTTGGTTTCTTAGCTCTTTATTTTGATGGTCAGTTGATGCCTGCAGGTCTTTGTCTTATATGTTGGTGCTAAAATGTGCATTGCTATGGATATTTGATTAATGTCTATGATTAGGATGCAACTTAATCTGCAGTAATTGGGTTTAGTATTTGACAAGAATAGCCTAAGATTAATTTCCAAAACAGGGGACTAAGGTGGAGGAGGACACAGGAGAAGATGTGTGGTCCTTGGGCCAGGGACAGATTCTCCCACAGCGGGTGATGCCACCTGTGGCTAGGTCTGGCCTTTGGAAGGACTTTATTGCTTTTCTCTTGTGGGGTCCATGATAGGTCCTTCTGAATACTGTTGTGATATATTTAAGTAAAAACCACCATGTAAGTGCATAATAATTGTGTTCAGTATATGATGATTAAAATAGGGCTGTATGTTAATAAATATGTAGCACACTATTGATGTGTTCTTTATGGTAAACAGGAAATATGCTGAGTGATTTCTTTTTTTAAATTTCTGGCTTGGAAATGATAGATAAAATATGATGAAGGTCTAGCTTTTATTTTATGCATTTTTTTCTGGCACACTCTGTCCATTTGCCTGGGTTCAACTACCTACATGCCTCACAAATGAAGTCTCATTATATCCAAGGCCAGCTAAATGCCCGTCAAGGAATAAATGAATGCGTGTGAGTTGTTTTAATTAGCTAGGTGTGATTTAAAGGTTGCTGAAATCAAAAAGGCTTATTCATTTTTCATCAATAATCACTTACCTTAATATTTCATTAGAACCCGCTGATTTGCAGGCCTCCTTCTGGGCCTTGCTTCATTATGACTGCAGACATAATTTAACTCTCCCCTTCTTCTCATTCCGTATTATGCTCTTTCATCTCAGAGACACTGTTAAGATGTTTCCAACATTCACAGGGCTGCTAATTGAGCCTACTTTTTTTTTTTTCATTAACTGTACTTAAAGCTATGGATTCTAGGCTGTGGAGAGCTCTTGTGAGTGTGTCTGTGTGTGTACATGTGTCTGTGTTGGCAGTTTCATCATTAGAACAGCTGATAATGTGTAAGTTTTCTGTTTTACGTGTTCTGAGAGTAGAAGCTGTTATCTTGGTAAAAGGCAGGACATAAACAGTTGGGACAGATTCTTAGACTGTGTCACCAATCAGAAAGAACAATGTGTCTTATGTGTACCATGCTCAGCAGCTGAGGGCACTGTCTGTGCACATCCCTTATTTTCAAAATAAGGTTCCAAACATTTCTTTTTAAACACATAGGTAGATCTTAGACATTTCAGGAGTAATAAATCTAAAATACAAAAACACACCCAGTGTAGACTCACATTCAGACCAGTGCATGTGAAAAAGGAGAACAAATAAATGAATATACAGGTATTTTTCACTTCTTCTATGTTAACTATGAAGTTAACTATGAGGTGTTACCAGTCCTCTGCGGCTATGTTAAACAGTTTGTATACAGATCAATAATGTTCAATAGTTTCGCCAGTTTTAATGATGAGTGAAAATTGCTAAATATTAAGAAATAAAAATTTGTGTCCATGAAAATTTGGTTTATGTATATGTTCAGAAGTATAAATAGGTCAGTTGGATGGGACCTTTTATTACCTTCTTAGTATTTCCCAGAAAACTTCACAGTGGCCTCCCTCATATCCCCAGACCTCTGTTTCAAAAACATATCTAAAAATTAAGGGACCTCCCATAGATTATATAAATGTTGACCTAGGGAGAATGAAAAGAAAGCCTGTGTATTACAGGTATTAGCTACCTTCAAAAATTATAAGTTCTTGTTTACCCAGATCTACTTCTCTCCCGTTTTGCTTGCCTGTGGGGTATTTACTGATAGTACTTTCCATAAAATAAAGACTTCAGTACATAGCAGAGTTGACACAGTTTGCTCTGGGATCGAGTAGTTGTGTTGGTGATTGTATTCTTTGCTTATGGCAGTCTTTGGGATTCCTGGGAGAAGTTTGAAGGTAGAATGTAAAACGTCTCTTTCGTATTGTGGTCCCCCAGCCTGCCCTGTCTCTTTCCGGCCTGTGTTGTGTCTGTGTGTGTGTGTGTGTGTGTGTGTGTGTGTGTGTGTGTACTCAGAAGCAAGCGTGGCCAGATGTGTCTTTGGATTCGGATCCTGGCTCTTCCATTTGAAGATGTTTGGCCGGTTATTTGACCCCTGTGCACTTTCTTATAGTCATCTGTATTTTCCATTTTTTTGTCTCATTGTTAGACCATATGTCAGCTGTGCTCTAATTTTTATATGTAGAAAAATATGTTCTTTATAACCATGCATCATGATCCAGGCTAGAAGTTAGTGATGCCGAAAGAGAAATACAGATAGGATCTCTGATGGTAACTATCTTCCAGTCTTTTGGGAGAATAGCAGACGGACTTAAATAACACACTAGTTTATTGACCATGCTGTTTATTTTAATAGCTAGGCCAGAATGGTTTGATTGACTTTTAAAAAATCTGGTATGTTTTTTACCATATGGACAAGACCGTATCGGCAGTGCCAAGCTAATAGGCTTTCTTTTCTCTGCCAGTGAACCATGAAAGTTGTTAGCAAAATGTTTTATCTTGAATTGATCCATTTTCCAAGCGCTTGGTTATATAAACACCCATTTTAGGGATAAAGTGCAGATTATCTTTCATCAGTTGTTGGAAATTTGTTGCATCAAAGAGCTGTAGGCAACCAGCATGTGAAATGATCTAGAAAGGAACATATACAGGCTGCTTGGGTGCCTAAAAATGTTATAAACCACCCTAAATTGGTGAACTGTGGAAGTAGAGCATAGATTACTTTCTTCTGATTATTAAAGTCTCATTTTTTACATTCTTAAAGATGAGGTTTAAAGGAGAAATATCTGCTTTGTGCTTTTTTCTTTTTTAGGGACTCAATGTATAAATCCTTCTGAGTCAAAATACTACTAATTCCTGTATATTGCAGTGAAGTGGTATAATTGTCTTGTCTTCTGATGAATTCTTTAAAGACTTTATCATCATTACTATTATTATTAATTTATTTATTTATGTTTGGTACCAGGGATCAAACTCAGGACCTCATGCTTGCCAGGCAGGTGCATGCTGCTGAGGTACATCCCTGGCCCTTTATTCATTATTTTTAATTGACACAATAATTATACATATTTATGTGGTACAGTGTGATCTTTAAGTACACATATACAATGTGTAATGATAAAATCTTAGTAATTAACATGTCTGTTACCTCGGATATTTATGGCTATACATGGCTTAGAACATTCACAATCTTTCTATTAATTTTTAAGTATTCATTCCATTGCAAATATTTATATTTTTGGTGTCATCAAAATATTTGTACCTTTCATTGCTATCTTTATGTTCATGTTTCCTCTACCGCCTGTTTTAGTGCATTTTCTGTTGCTTATAACACAATACCATAGACTGGATAAAGAAAAAAGGTTTACCTAGGTTCGCAGCTCTGGAGATCCAAGGTTGAAGGACAGCATCTGGTGATGACCCTCTTGCAGGAAGAGTCTCAGGGAGGTGCAGTACTGGTCATCACATGGCAAAAGACAGGGTGTGTGTGTGTGTTTTCTTGTCTATCTCTTCTTATAAAGCTACCAGGATTCAATCACCTTATGTAGTCCTGATCACCTCCCAAACATCAGCCTCTAAACACCATTATCAGATTGAATATCCAGGGCCAGGGATTTAGTTCAGTGGTCCCGCTGCCTGCCTAGCAAGCACAAGGTCTCGAGTTCGATCTCCGGTACCAAAAATACAAAAACAAAACAAAAAATGACATGTCACAGATTGAATATCCACCTTGTTTATATCACAGTGAGGCCTACACTCCAGTTTTGGAGGCCCCAAACCCTAACACACCCTTTGGCATACACAGTGTGTCTGAAGTATAGTTTTAAAAGTTCTTTTTCATCTATTTGCATAATCATTGATCCCTCTCTCCCTTCCTTTTTTTGTTAAAATTAGGGATCAAATAGAGGGCTACAGGCATACTAAGCATGCACTCTACCACTGAGCTATCCTGCTATCCTTCACCATACTTCCCCAATCAATTATCCATCAACTAATTTTTCTTCTGGTTGTGGATCACATTTTCATCATTCTTGTGGTTAATAATTTTTTGGTTGAATGACAGACATTGTGAATTTTCTGTCCTGAGGGCTGAATTTCTATTCTGTAATTTGATTGTCGAATCTTTCCTGTCACACAGTTAAGTTACATACTGATTGTTTCTTGTCTTTAGCTTGTTTTTTGTCTCTTTTAGTCTGGCTTCAGAGTAGATTTCATTTTAAGGCCGGAGGTGGCCTCAGTTCCATGGTGAGGCTCGTTTTGACTAAATATCCAGTGTGTTCAGCTTGTGTACTCAGCAAATTCTCCCTCCAGTTGTGCTCTGCAGGCATGGCCACAATTGTTCATCAAATGCTGCTTGGTGATTATTATTTTCACAGACGATCTTGTCTGGGCTTGTGGTGTTTTCCTTACACACAAGTTAGTTTTCAAGAACTCAAGAAGATGCGTGTAGATTTCTGGAGCTCTTTCTCTGTGTAGCTGCCTCCTTTCAGGCCATCTGACTCCAAATGCCACCCACCTTAGCACCCTCCAATTCAGAAGCCCCTCGTGCCTGCAGTGTTGGGCTTCCTTTCCTTGCACCGTGGTGTGTGAGCTGCTGCCAGACAGAAAGCCTAGGAGATGGGAGAGCTCGCCTCATTTGTCTCCCTCTCTGGTCCCCAACTTCTGAAAATAGTTGTTTCCTATATTTTTTCTGGTTTTCTAGTTATCTGAGTTTAAAGTTAATTCTGCACCACCTTGTCTTCTCATTGCTGAAAGTGGAAATTCTTTAAAATATATTTGAACGGTTGTTCTATGAAAGTCTTTTATCTACTCACTTCATCCTTATTCTTAAAGCCATTGCAACTGTTTTTAATCTCCTCTTATTCCAAAAGGCTGTTGCCAATGGTCAGATTGCCAAATCTGGATACCATCTTGAAAATGGACACAACATGTGACTTACAAGGTCTGCTTCTCCCTTGGTCTCTTATGCTCTCCCAGTGTCTTCACTGCTGACTCCCATCTTTTGGGGAAAGGATTCTTTTTGTCCCCTAAATGCTATAGTTCTTGAGGGCTTATTTTCTTGTCTAATCTTCTCCCTGTCATGTCAACTACCTCTTATACCTGGCTCATTTCCAAAGTCATTGTAGTAGAGTTGACCTGTTCTAAGTTCTAGACCTTACTTCCGGCCTATCTCTCTGGGTATCCTGACAGTATCACAAACACAGTGGGAAGAAATCTGCTGTGATCTTTATTATTGAGAGCTGGGGGGCCATTGTGTCTCCTTTCTCTGTGTTCTCACCAGTGTTCTTTCCTGTCTCCTGTCCTCTTCCTTCCTCTCCTTCTCTCTTAGCCTCCATACCTAGCCTTGAGGTCGTATAGATTCTTTTCTGTGCTGTTTCTCCAGCCCATTCTTCCTCATCTATTTCATTTTCCTGATTCAGGGATGCACCATCACTGATGATGTAATACAGTATCAGCACTTACATTTTCTCACTTGGCTCACCCACCTATGATCCATCTCACATGGTCCTGCAGCAGCACCTCCCTAATGTCCAATGTGGGTGTCTTTACTCTCAACTGCTTAAACAAACAACCTGACAACAGAATCAAGTCCAAACTCTTCAGTGGCATTCTTATCCTAGTGAAACACTACAGTCTTAGCCCTCTGTCTTTGTCCTCATCAAAACCTCCCTGCAGGCTATTTTCTCTCCCAGAGTAGGCCCAGCATTTTGCCACCAGCATTCCACATGCCCTCTTGTGGGTGTGGAATGCCCCGCGTAGACCTCTTTATCCCTGTTGTTAAATCCCAGACCTCCAAATGCTATCTCTTCTGCAAAGTTGATACCTTGGATTGGATCATCTTCCTTGGATCCCAAACAGTTTGTATGATTACCAAGACTTCCTTCAGTGTCTACACAGGATAGTTAGAAAATATCTGTATTTCCTCTACTTCTGCACAATTTAGATTTCCTCCAATACTCTTCTGGACATCTTCTTTGGCAGTGTTAGGATGAAACCACTCAGGCATTTCCGTGAGCTGTTTTTAGGACTTGTGCTGCTGCTAGAATGCAGTCTCCTGCAGGAATCTCTCCATAACCGGCCGCCTCTCCCCCAGAGGAGATAAAGGCCTTATCTTGGGGAGATACAGATAAGGACCGGGCCTGTTTCACCCTCATGAGCTCCAAATGCTTCTGCACATTTTTGAAGCATTTAAAGGTGAGCATGTCAGACGAATAAATGAAAAAAAATAGAGAAAGTTATCTAATGGCTTGATTTATTTAGGAAGATCCCTTTGCACAGCATATGACTTCAGCATGTAAAGATAATTTTATAAAAAAATAGGCATAACGAACTTTTCAGTAACATATCAACATCAAACAGAACAGGTCACTTTACACATCCATTATTTTACTTAGTTGCTTGCTAGGACTTTTTCAACAATAGTCATCACTCAGAATTTTAGAGAGCTGCGTATGCATTTTGTTGTGATGGTGGTGGGTGTGGTTGGTAAATTTCTCAAACCATTGACCGTGAAATATGACTCTCCTGATACCGCTGCTTTCCAGCACAGGTATCAAAAGGAAACAAAGAGTGGAGGTTATTTTGGGAGCCTTCAGTGTTCTCTCTCTTGTCTGTGTTTTCTTCCTGTGCAGATATTCAGGCGCTTCTAGACCTTATGTTTAAGTAGATACAACACTTTGCTGATTTCCTTTAAATGTTTCCTGAGTAAGAAATATATTATCCCTTAATCAGCTTCTTTTGAGATGTCTGTTTATACTAAACACAATTCTCTTCCAATTAGTTTCAAATTCTAAGCAAAAGTACTGGTAATTAAACATTGTCTGAAGCAACATCCTGTTACTGTACCGTGTTATTGAAGCTGAGGTACACTAGAAACAAATATTAAGGCTATTAGCATTTTTGTCAATCTGCTGTATTAGCTGATCAGCCACGTACAAGAACCAATTTACTGACAGAAATTTCTTATCTCTGAAAACTATGGGAATTTGGAAAACTAAGTGTCTCTTCTCTCACCTATAAAATGACATAACTGTAACAAGTAAATCATTGGAATCACTCTCTTGTAGGGCTGTTGTGTAGGACAAATGAGATTTATAAGCAAAGCATTGGGCATTGTAACTGCTTGCAGCTTTAAAAATATATTTAATTGTCATGCAGGTTAAAAATATCTCACAGAAAAAGTATATTATGATTAAAATAAAGTCCTTCCAGTAAGTAGATCCGAAATTCAGTGGATCTCAGTTATTTGAAGAACCATTATTTTTAACACATCATAACATTTTGGTTGACTTCTTGGATTTATTTTATCATTTAGTGCTGGGGACAGAATCTAGAGCATTGTGCATGCCAGGCAAGCACTGTACCACTGAGCTACACTCTCAACTGTGGAGTTTATTTTAATCTGTGTAAACTGCTGGCCAAAGTAAGGAGTGAACAAAACGAGCTCAACCTTGAGCGTGACATGTTGGAGAATGTACTTAATATATATGGCCCACACATAGCAGTGATTTGTGTCTCTCTGGCGTTGCCTGGGTATTGTGTTGCGAAGATGGCATCAGCTGGTGAGATCGTTTCAGACTTGGACTGCCAGTCGATGAACCACTGTTCCATTAATTGGTGATAGAATTTATTTCACAATGTGTGTGATCTGTTGCAGTGGTAAAATAAATTATTTTTAGATTCCCAATGTAAAATTGTTTTCTCACTAGATAATTATAATTGGCTCTGTGTGTAACACAAATTTTAAATATTTTATGTTATTAGTAACACCAGCAGAACACGGGAATTAATAAGATAGAAATGCAAATGGGTTTTCCTGTTTCTTAAACTGTGGCTGTAAATGGAGAATTGGTTCTGTAAATTATTTTTAATGTGCACACTTTTTAACAAGGTCTTGAGAGCGGTAATCATTTCTGGGTTTCCAACATCAAGGGGCAGTGATGGCTTGATAGGTGTACTCCTTTCCTTGTTGATGAAATACTGGTTTTCATTAAGTTTTATGTTAATAAAAGTTCATTTAGAGTCATGGACCTCAACCGTTTTGGAATGAGAAGGGACCTGATTTAACAGCCCATTGACTTAGAGAAGTAGGAATGCAGGAGGAAGGTACCTGCTGCTGCTCACCCTCATCCCTTTTAAAGGAAGTCAAGCTGGTGGCTGATATGGAGTTGGATCCTTGTGAGCTCATGCCCTTAACTAGCAGTGCCGCTGTGGGCAAGTCACCTGGTTATTAGAAAAGCCTTTTCCAAACTCATAAACAGGGATAATCATTCCTAGTTTGTCAATGGAAAAAGAAAGGTAAAATGATCAAACACCGTAAAGCATATATGTGAAAACATGCTCAAAATTACAAAGCTCCGCTGCATGTTAGATTAGGTTACCCTCATCATTGCTCCCCCACCGGTCTTCCCTGGGACCTCTAGAGCTCTGTTGAGGAAGTGAGCTAACTCAGGTGAGTAGATGCCCGGTTACCAGAATACACCTGGATTTAGGTATTTCTGTTACAAACACTTCCTAGTTCAGGAAGTTAATTGTACTTAAAAACAAGATCTTTTAATATGCACTGTATAGATAGTTATAAGCAGGTAGACCTCAGAGTAAAATTAAACAGACACAGCTGTTTGTGAGTAAGCAGTGCGAGTATAAGGTAAATACTGAACTACTCACCGTTTTCCCTGGAAAGCCTGGTCGAGGCCCAATGGCCCGCCCTCTCTGCTCCTGAGTCCACGTCTCCCTGGTGCCTCCTGCTGGGCCTCTGGAGGCCCAGGCTCCATCTGTGGTGCTTTTGCAGTTTGTTACAAATTCTTGTTAAATATCTTGCTGTCCCTCCTTTGCAGTTATGACCAAGCGACGTCAGCCTTACTCCTTGCTCTTAGAGGTTTATTTTGTTTCCTGCTTCCTTCTTCCTTCATCCATTTCCATGGTGCTTCCTACTTCCTGTCCAGCTCCTTTATGCTGGCTTACTGACCCACCCTCTCCTTTGCCCTTCTGTCGCCTGAGGACCCCTGAACCCCACCTCTGCTGAGGCCTGGGCCTGGCCCCTTGGACCTCACCTATGTCGCTCCCTGGGCTTACTCCAGCCAGCCACGCTGGACTCCCCATGTTCTGACCCAGGCCTTTCCCTTGCCCTTGGTCTGCGGGATGCCCTGTCCCAGCTGCTGCCAGGCTTCCTGGCATTATCCAGGTACTTCTAAGTTGCTTCCTTGGAGTGATCCTCTCTGAGGTCTTCTCTAGCAATCCCCCCATGTGCTTCTCTGCAGATGTTGTCCTGTAATTCCCCACCTCCAGCAGCCCTGTTCATTCCTGTGTTACTTCCAGTTCTACCCTCCTAAGTCTAAGTCCGAGAGCAGAGACCCCATGTGTCCCAGGAAGCCTCTGAGCAGCGTCATCCACAGAGGCGCAGGGATGGAGGCTCCTCGTACCTGTGCACGTCTGTAGGATGCGGGCATAGCGCACTCTGGTTGTCTTGGGTCCCTCCTGTTTATGTCTATGAACCCTGCCTGAGGCAGGGACTGTTTACCTCCCCTCCCAGAGCCCTGCAGAGGACTTGCTCCTGGGTCTGCCACCAAGAAGATGGTCCTTACCAGGAGCAACATGGGCCTCTCCACTTGGCGCTTCCTGTCTCTTGTTTTGAAAGCACCTCCTTTCGCCAAGTCTGGAAATCCCACCTTGTCTCAAGACAGCTCTATTTCAAAGGCTGGCCGAGAATTTGCTGGGAACTGTTTTTCATACATTATAAAAATTCTTCTTTGTGAATATGTAAAACCTTGATCTCTGAATTAACATACATTACCAATATAATTTTTTAAATCAAACATTAAAATTATATCGTACTGGTGTCACCAGGAAGCTGGGTTTTGTCAGTGGGTGCAGAACTGGCCCTCATTCCTCTGCCCTTTCTGTCTTTGAGGAAAACATTCAGACAAGACACACAGGTAGGTAGGCGGCCAAGCAGAAGTATGGGCAGTTTATTGTAATGCAGATAGTTATACCTTGGGGGACAGGTGGGCAGTACTATGTGAGCATCTGCGCAGAGTGTGAGTCTGGATCATTTTTTAGATATGGCTGGGGTTCAGGGACCCTGGGTGGTTATTGCTGTTTTTCCATATTTTTCTTAGAGGTAAGTTGGGAATTACAAAATGTCTTCCTTGTTCTTCCCAGATGGCCATTGTTCCTTCAGGGGACTTAATCATGTAAGAGACTTACAAAATAAATTTATGGAAAGAAAAGGCTCAAATCTGCCTTGGTTACTTTTCTGGTTGCTGCGAGAAAATGCCTTATACTCAAAATTGAAGAAGGAAAGGTTTATTTAAGATTACAGTTTGTAGAGGTTTCAGTCTATGGTCGGCTAGCTCCAAGAAAGGGCTGCATGATAGAGGGGCATCACAGAGGAGAAACAGTTCATGGTGTGGGAGGCAGAAGGCAACGTGGAAGCAGCCTTTTATCCCATCCGGGCTGAATGCCTTTCAGGTGGTGCCATCCACACCTAGGGTGGACTTTCCCATTATCCACACCCAGAACTATGCTAATTCCAATTAGTGGACTAATCCAGTACCATGCATCCTTAACCCCAGTATTACACACCCTAGATCCACCCAGCTCTGAAAAG